TGAGACTCCAACTGAAAAAAAAAAAAAAAAAGAATGACTTGCTTGCAAGGTTGGCCCTTCTCTGGCGACTTGGCAGCTTGTCACTTGATCTATTCTGTAATCAGTAAGCATATTTTGCTGTGCTTTTACTGTGCAAGCAATTGACATGCTGAACAGCTGCTTTCTTTTGGGGAATCTGGGATTTTATAGCTGTTAGGCAGAGGGCCTTGCATGACCAGATCCCTTGGACACTTGAATCTTTAATGACTTCCCTGAGCTGAAACATTGCACACATGTGACTCTTTTTTCACAGCTAGGTAAAGAAACATACTTAGTGTGTTCCCTTATGTGAGGGAGGTAATGAAAGGAAGCCCATGCGTGGACTTTCCAGAATTTTCTGTGTCTTTTTTGTTTGCTGATTCTGTTGCATATCATTTTGCTGTTATAAATCTCAGCCATGGGTGCAACTATATGCTGAATTCTGTGAGCTCTTCTAATGGGGGGTGGTCTTGGGGACCCCTGACATAGGGACCCAAGTAAATGTAATTTGGGTGTCTATGCCAGAGAAATGTGGAAACCAAGGCATCGAGCACCCAGCAGCTGTCTAGAGAGCTATGCTTGAGCCAAGCTCTCAGCAGGGTCAACCTTTACCACCATTAAATATATATATATAAGCCGGGCTCGGTGGCTCAGCCTGTAATCCCGCACCTTTGGGAGGCTGAGGTGAGTGGATTGCCTGAGCCTGCGGGTTCGAGATTCGCCTGGGCAGCGAGACCTCATCCTACAATAAATCAAAAAATCAGCCGGGCGTGGTAGCGCATGCCTGTAATTCCGGCTACTTGGAAGGCTGAGGCGGAAGGATCGCTGGAGCCCAGCAGGTGAGGCTGCGGTGGCCAGAAGTGGCCACTGCACTCCAGTCTGGGTGACCAAGTGAGACTCCAACTCAAAAAAAAAAAAAAAATATATATATATATATATATATATATATACCTATCTCTCTCTCTGTATATAGTATATACAGTATATATTTCAGTATGTGTATATATAAATATACTATATATACATAGGTATATGTAGAAATATATATTTAATATATAATATGCATAATATATTTAATATATGTATAATATAATATTTGATATATATAAAATGCATAATATATATATGGAGAGAGAGAGAGACAAGACAGAGACAGAGACACAGAGAGAGAGACAGACAGAGAGAGTCTTGCTGTGTTGCCCAGGCTGGAGTGCAGTGGCTATTCATAGGTGTGATCTTAGAACACTGCAGCCTCAAGCTCCTGGGTTGAAGACATCTTCCTGATTTAGCCTTCTGAGTAGTAGCTGGAACCACAGGCATGTGCTACTGTGCCTGGCCGTAATCATCTTTTTGAAGTGGGTAGGGTTCAATCCCAAACGTAAGGAAACATTGAAGAGAGACACCAGACAGCTCAATGGAGGAGAGGATGCCAGTGGAGAGGAAGAATCCCCGCCACCAATAGGGCCTACAGTATTCAGTACTCTGTTGTCATGGATGCTCCCTTGCCCCAGTGCTGGAGGTCCCTGACACCCTCGAGATAGAGGCTGCTGATTAAGTTCATGACTATACAGAAGAGTTATACTCAGAATCTGGCAGGTGATAGAGCATTGAAGAGGAAGATGGAGATGACTCTGACACTCCAGTGATGCCAAAACTCCTGTGAAACTAGGATTCCATTTGAAAGCTTAGATGCGAAATCTGAAATAGTGACTGTCTCTTGTTAGGAAAGACACGGATCCTCTCCAGTACTTCTCTTGAGGTTGGTAGACCAGTAGACTAGAGTCCTGTAACTGACTTTCTTGTCGAGTCTTCAGCTACCAAGTCTCTGAGGCAATGGGCAGCAGCTAGGGTATGGTGTAGCAGTCCCTTGCCAGCCCCTACCTTACCACTAACCTAACGGAACATGTGGCAAATCCCTGCGTCCTGACTGAACCAGGATATCCAGTAGGAGAGCTTAGAGCCTCTGCAGGAGGATATAGAGAATGGAGACTTAGGAACAATGTGGGATCAGGACGGGTCCTTGTCTGGGAAAAGATCAAGGGCTTTTCCTGGTGGCCTGCCATGGTGGTGTTCTGGAAGACTGCCATCTTCAAGCACCAGGCCATCTCTCACATGAAAGCAGTGGTCTCGTGATAGTGAGTTCCCCGAGCTGGTGGCCCTGGAGCTGCTCAGCCAGTACTTTAACCTGGCTACCTTCAATAACCTGGCTTCTCATAGAAAAGTTATGTACCAGGTCTTGGGAAAAGCAAGAGTGTGAATCGGCAGGCCCTTCCCAGAATCCTGCAGGAGCATATAGACAGTGGAGAAGTACTGGCTGAGCAGCTCCAAGGCCACCAGCTTATCCAGAGGGCCCTTGGGGAACTCACCATCACGAGACCACTGGGCCTGGTGCTTGAAGGTGGTGGTCTTCCAGAACACTACCATGGCAGGACGTCAGGAAAAGCCCTTGATCTTTTCCTGGACATGGGCCCATCCTGATCCCACATTGTTCCTAAGCCTCCCGTATCTGTATCCTCCTGAAGGATCAGTTGAAATCTACGTTGGAGTGAGCCCATAGGGATTCCAAGTCAACTGTAGTTGAGGGCTTCAAACCCAACACCAACCAGCTGTCAAATTGAAGGTGTGTATTCAGTGAGACTTGGAATCAAAGCAATGTGAAAATAAGACCTGAAGAAGCACTGCTGCCATTTCTGACTTCTGTCTTCCATGCAAATGCCAAAAGTTGAATTTCTACAACAAGGGCAAAGGTTTTGGGAAAGAAGATCAAGAGTCTAGAGCAAATGACTTTGGATTTAATAGCAAGAACAGTCTAGAATAGGGCTTGGCAACCTTTTTCTTTTACAACCCAGATGGTAAATATTTTTGGCTTTGTGAGCCATACGGTTTTTTTTCTGCAACTACTCAACTCTGCTGTTGTGTGAGAGCAGCCAAAGACAACAGGTAAACCAACAGGCATTGCTGTGTTCCAGAAAAACGTTATGGACATTGAAATTTGAATATCATGTAATTTTTGTGTATCATGAAATATTGTTTTTGACTTTTTCAGCCATTTAAAAATGTAAAAACTGGGCTGGGCATTGTGGCTCATGCCTGTAATCTCAGCACTTTGAGAGGGTGAGGCGGGAGGATTGCTTGAGGCCAGGAGTTCAAGACCAGCCTGGAAACATAGCAAGCCCCCCATAAAAAAAAAAAAGTGAAAACTATTCTTAGCTCATGAGTGATATAAAAACAGGTGGTGAGCTGGATTTGGTGTGTGGGTGGTTTGCCAAACTATGGTCCAGTATTAGCTATTGTCCTGTGTGGGAGCACCTCTGTCTCCTTCCATCCACTCTTTGAGGGTGGGCTCTGCCTGATGTGCCAGGACCAGTTCAATTGGATAGGAAAGCTCTAGAAAGTACCGACAGTAATCACTAAATTGAACCGCAACGGGAGAATAACTTTTCCCTCTTGTCATGAATGGCAAAGTAGGTGTTTTGTTGTGCACAGAGCCAGAAAGGATCTTTGACTTCCCTGAATGTTATGTAGATGTGTCCATCATGGACCAAGGCACCTGTGTGTGAGGTCCTGAAGTGTGCCTGTCATTCATCTCCTCTTGCCTTCCTGGAAGATGTCTTTGCCTCCCTGAAGGATTTGCCTGTGAATGGTCTCACGGTGGGGAGAGTGGGTGGCGCCTAAGAGTCAGGGCAGAGCCAGGACCCAGGAGGTAGGATCACTTAGCTGTGTGAGGTTACTCTGGGTACCTCAGTTTTCCTACCTGTTCAGTGGGATCAGAACCATCTGTCCTTCTCTGGCAGGGGGAGACTTAGGTGATCTCTTGCCGAACAGACTGAAGAGCCGCCTCCTCACCTATACACTGCTCAGATCTAGCCACCTGGAGCAGCCAGATATGGTGCTTATTGTTTCTCCTCAAACTTTAGGACCCGAAATAGCAAGATTTCTTTTATCCCCCCTCCTGGGTTTACCATTCAGAAAAACAATAATCTAGAAAATTATCAAGATAGTTATCAAACAAGATTATAATTTTATTTTATTAAAAAAAAATTTAAAAACACCTGCTGCTCCATTTTCACAGAATGTGCAATTTGGATAGATATGTAGTTTAGGGACATTTTAAGGGGCCAGGAAGATGGTTTTATAGGTCATGCAGGAGGAGAAATTGTACATATGACTTTCTTGAATCACTTGATGCATTCAGCTTAATACAAAAGACTGAGATGCTGTTGGGGTTTATTTATAGTGTTTCTCCAAATGGTGATGATTTCTGTGATGATGTCATCATCACATATGGGTCCTTTAAAAAAATTTTTTTTTGAGTCGGACTCTCACTCTGTTGCCCAAGCTGGAGTGTAGTGGCACACTCATGGTCACCACAGCCTCAACCTGCTGGGCCCAGGCAATCTTTCTGCCTCAGCCTTCCAAGTAGCTGGAACTACAGGCACGCCCCACCATGCCTGGTTAATTTTTAAAAATGTATTCTAGAGATGAGGTCTCACCAAGTTGCGCAGGCTGGTCTCAAACCCGTGGGCGCAGGCAATCCTCTCACCCCAGCCTCCCAAAGTGCTGGGATTATAGGTGTGAGCCACCGCATCCAGCTGGGTCCTTTTTTTAAAAATGCAAACCCAGCCGGGCTCGGTGGCTCACCCTGTAAACCCGTGCCTTTGGGAGGCTGAAGTGAGTGGATTGCCTGAGCCCGCGGGTTCGAGACCCCCCTGGGCAGTGAGACCTCATCTCTACAATAAATCAAAAAATCAGCCAGGCATGGTAGCGCATGCCTGTAATTCCGGCTACTCGGAAGGCTGAGGCGGAAGGATCGCCAGAGCCCAGCAGGCGAGGCTGCAGTGGCCAGGAGCGGCCACTGCACTCCAGTCTGAGCGACCGAGTGAGACTCCAACTCAAAAAAAAAAAAAATGCAAACCCAAAGACAAGGCTGTCCTTAGTCAAATCCTTCTCAGTGACTGTATTCTAACCCTCTAGATGATCCCATGAGAGGTAAGCCAAATTATAATCTTCCATGTATCTTGCAAATAAGTGTGCCTTGTCAGTATCTCCTTCTTTTTCTCACTGATGTAAAGGGTGTCAAGGAAGAAGTTTAGGTCTGCTACTGCTAAGACCCTCCTTCCCCCAACTCTCTCTTCTGTAAATGCACAGGTCGCAGGTTAGAAGTATGATACCCCACTTCCTCTTCTGAGCTTTCAGAAACAGTGACATCTGGGGATCAGAAACACATTCCTCTTGCTTCCCTTCCTCAACTATATGGCAGGGGAAACTTGAGCTTCCCTCCAGAGATGTTAAAATATTGCCTTTTGAAATTCCATAGTAATGGAATTTTACCAACACAGAAATAATAAGTACTTAAGGGGATGGATCCTTCAAATACCCTGACTTGATCATTACACATTCTATACATGTAACAAATACTGAACCCCATTAATATGAAAAATACTATGCATCAGTCAGGTGCAGTGGCTCACACCTGTAATTCCTGCATTTTGGGAGGCAGAGGCAAGAGGATTGCCTGAGCCCTGGGGTTTGAGACCAGCCTGGGCAACTTCTCAAGAGACCTCATCTCTACAATAAATAAAAAAAAATTAGCTGGGCATGGTGGCACATGCCTGTGATTCCAGCACTTGGAAGACTGAGGCAGAAGGATCTCCTGTGCCCAACAGGTTAAGGCTGTGGCGGCCATGAGCGTGCCACTGTGCTCTAGCCTGGGCAACAGAGTGAGACTCTGACTCAAAAAAAAAGAAAAGAGAAAGAAAAATATTATGTATCAACAAATTAAAATATTCCATAATAATTTGTTTTTGAGAGGAATGGGAGTTTGGCAAGTTACATTTTAGAAATGCTGTTGTAATGTTTTTTAATACTATTTACTCTTTTTGCTAATGCTCTTCTGTAAAATAAGGAGTAATATGGCAGGTTTTGAAAAAATATATTTTTATTAAAAGCACAGACTTCTATTTCCATATTTAACATTTTCATACACTTTTTTTTTGGTAACTGGAGCCACATAATAAGTATGGGGGGTAAAACAAACAAATTAAAAAAAATAAACCTCTGGCCAGGGCTGGCTCAAGTCTATAATCCCAGCACTTTGGGAGGCCAAGCTGAGAGGACTGCCTAAGTTCAGGGGTTCGAGACCAGCCTGGGCAACTTGATGAGACCTCATCTCTACGATAAACAACAACAACAACAAAATAAGCTGGGTGTGGTGGTGTGCACCTGTGGTTCCAACTACTTGGAAGGTGGAGGCAAAAAAAATCACCTGGGCCCAGCAGGTCGAGGCTGTGGTGGCCATGAATGTGCCATTGCACTCCAGACTGGGTGACAGAGTGAGACTCCAACTCAAAAAAAAAAACAAAAACAAAAAACCTCTAGATTGTGTTAACAGTTTGTGAAATTTTAGAATGGAAAATGGTGAGTGCTTGGAATCTTGCTTATTACATTAAGGTCAGTATTTCTCTAAAAACATAATAGGGAAGAGGTGTAGACTGCGGAGAAGTTGACTTACGTGAAAGGAAGAGGCAAGAGGAGGCGAGGGCCCCAGTTAACTAAGAAGGCTTGGGGGCTCTTGGGGGTCATCATGATAGACACAGCAGGCCTGGATTCTTAAGGCTGCTTTATTTCTCATTCCAGCTTTGCCTTTCAAGAACACTGCCTGACTCTGGGAGGAGGAGAAGCCCAGATATCTGGGGGCCACCTTTCTCTGTTCTGATATGCTGGCTCATTTCCAGAGAATCAGCACATCTTCTCTCTTGGGAAGGGAGGAAGGAATCAACACTTAGGTAGTTCATGTCTTGTGTTAGCCGCTGTGCTAGGCACATTATAATGGTTTCTGCATTTAATTTTTTTATTTTTTGAGTGTATTAAAAACATAACTAGTTTAATATTAATTCTAAATCATAACAGTAATTTTTTATAAAAACCTGGGTTATGAAAGTTCTGAAATGCACTAAAATTCTCTATATCAACATTTGCATAAATAATCATAATAACTTAATAGTATCTAATAGTCAGGTTTTGTACATTAGACTTCTTTTTCATTTTTTTATAATGAAGATTATCAAAGATAGGCAAAAGTAGAAAAAAAGCAATTTCCAACTCATGGCTAATTTTGTTTCATTTCCATTTCCACTGGATTATTTTAAAGAAAGTTTAAGATGTCATACCATTTAATCCATAAATACCTCAGTCCTCTGTCTAAATCATTAAAACAGCAGAATGGGATGGGTGGTGATGTCCCCATTTAGAGATGTAATCATCTGGCTTAGAGGGATTATGTGACTTGCTTGCAGTTACACATGGATGGCCAGATGGATAACTAGGAATTAAAACCCAGATTTCTCTGACTCTCAAACTATGGGTTTTCTGAATTGCCTTCCCAACTGTTTTCTTTTTTCCTAGAAAACTACTCAATGATAAAAAAACACGTTTTCCAACTCCAGGAAATGGGTTTATGATTTTGGATGAAGAGCCCCATGGAAGATTCACCCTCTTGTTCTGATGCTACATATCCCTGCCTCCTACCCCTATGATCTTTTCTATATCAGAAATTTAATTTGTTGATTTCTGGGTACAGGACTATGTGAGATTCTGGGAGCCAGTCAAATAGAATTCTAAGTTCACCGTCCTTATTCTCAAATAACAAAGATTCTTTGGGAAATAATGCATGGAAACAGGAAATAAGGATACTGGTAGTAATAATGATGAAGACAGATAAAACTATAATAGTGCCGGAAAAGACATGACTAAATGTTAGCCTGTAGCTGTTAAAATAATGCACAGCCACAAAAAATTATCTTAGGTTTCCACTGATAATCAAATTCACGGTACACAATGTGCTTTAACCCTGCATTAAATTTACTTAGCTTCATGAAAGGATACCAAGCGGGAAGCATAGCAGCTGCATCATCATTATTCTCCTCAGGAGGTTTTGTACTAGTCCAGGGGGCAGTTTCCAGGGTCATAGGGACCAAGCTTGATTGTTAGAGATGGGGTGACTTGGGAGCAAATCACTTCCTAACAGGGAAGCCACTGACTTTATTTTCCTGTAATCCCTCCCACGTCCCTACATTTTATTATGAAAATTTTTAATATACAGAAAAATCCAAAGCATTGTAAAATCATTCCCCAACACCTAAAGTCAATAGTTAACATTTTATTATTTTTTAAAATGTTGAATTCATTTATCTGTTCCTCTATCCTTTTTTCTTTTTTTGAGTCGGAGTGTCACTCTGTTGCCCTGGTTGGAGGGCAGTGGCACGCTCACGACCACTCACTGCAGCCTCGAACTGCTGGGCTCAGGCAATTCTTCCACCTCAGCCTTCCAAGTAGCTGGCCTTCCAAGTAACTGGAACTACAGGCATGCCGGCTAATTTTTCTTGATTTATTGTAGAGATGAGATCTCGCTAGGTTCCCCAGGCTGGTCTCAAACCCATGGGCTCAGGCAGTCCTCTCACCTCCGCTTCCCAAAGTGCTGGTATTATAGGCGTGAGCCACCGTGCCTGGCCCCTCTGTCCACTTATTAATTTATCTCATATTTTGATGCACTTCAGAGTAAGTTATAGATCTCAGTACATTTTCTTTTTTTTGAGTCAGAGTCTCACTCTGTCGCCCAGACTGGAGTGCAGTGGCTGCTCCCGGTCACTGCAGCCTTGACCTGCTGGGCTCCAGCGATCCTTCCACCTCAGCCTTCCGAGTAGCCGGAATTACAGACACGCGCTACCACGCCCGGTTGGTTTTTTGATGTATTGTAGAGATGAGTTTCGCCAAGTTGCCCAGGTGGGTCTCGAACCCTCAGGCTCAGGCAATTTACTCACCTCGGCCTCCCAAAGCGCGGGATTACAGGCTGAGCCACCGAGCCCGGCCTACATTTTCTTTTGAGTCGGAGTCTCACTCAGTTGCCCAGGCTGGAGTGCAGTGGCACGCTCATGGCCACCACAGCCTCGACCTGCTGGGCTCAGGTGATCCTTTTGCCTCAGCCTTACAAGTAGCTAGAACCACAGATGTGTGCCACCATGCCAGGCTAATTTTTTTATTTATTGTAGCGACAAGGTCTCACCAAGTTGACCAGGCTGGTCTCGAACGCCTAGACTCAGGCAATCCTCTCACTCTGTCTCTCAAAGTGCCACCGCTGCCAGCTATCTTCTCATTTAACAGTGTCTTTCACAGAGCAGAAGTTTTTAATGTTAATGAAGTCCAACTTATCAATTTCTTCTTTCATTGATCATTCTTTCAGTGTTGTTTTGAAGAACTTATCACCAGGCCAGGCCCACATCACTGCCCCCTCAGGTGTTGGCTGCCTAATCCTGGGTCATAGCTTGCTGTCTAGACATTTTGTACCCCTTTCTACACTGTACCATACCGCCTGAGTGGGTTGTCAGGCTACATATTTGACATCCCTCCCAAAACTTCTCACAAGCCCAAGGATTTCAGTACCTATACCTAGTTTCTACTTTTTTTTTTTTTGAGTCAAAGTCTCACTCTGTCACTCAGGCTCATGGCCACCGCAGCCTCGACCTGCTGGACCCAGGTGATTCTTCTGCCTCAACCTCCCAAGAAACTGGAACTACAGGCATGTGCTACCACGCCCGGCTTATTTATTTATTTATTTTTGATTTATTGTAGAGACAAGATCTCACCAGGTTGCCCAGACTGGTCTCGAACTCCCAAGCTCAGGCAATCCTCTCGCCTCGGCCTCCCAATGTGCTGAGATTATAGGCTTGAGCCACCACACCAGGCAGTTTTCTACTTTTTTTTTTGAGTTGGAGTCTCACTCTGTCATCCAGACTGGAGTGCAGTGGCCGCTCCTGGCCACTGCAGCCTCAACCTGCTGGGTTCCGGCGATTCTACCGCCTCAGCCTTCCAAGTAGCTGGAACTACAGGCGTGCACTATCACAGCCGGCTAATTTTTTTGATTTATTGTAGAGATGAGGTCTCGCCAAGTTGCCCAGGCAGGTCTCGAACCCACGGGCTCAGGCAATTCACTCACCTCAGCCTCCCAAAGCGCGAGATTACAGGCTGAGTCACCGAGCCTGGCTGTTTTCTACTTTTAACTCAGCATCATTGTTATTCTTTTCTTCTCTGCCACTTCTGTGCTGGATTTTAAATCACTTTCAGAGTCCAACTCTGAGGTGAGAATTCCAAGAAGCTTGGTCTTAGTAGCTATGTGGTGTGCTACCTCTGGACCCTACTGTGGTCTTTGATCTGATGGAAGCTTAATGAGTTTAGCTCTAGGCCAGGCTTGGCGGCTCATGCCTGTAATCCCAGTACTGTAGGAAGCTGAAGTGGGAGGATTGCTTGAGCCCAGAAGGTCAAGACCGCCTGTGCAACATAGGGAGACCACATCTCTACAAAAAAAATTAAAAATTAACTGACCATGGTAGTGCATGCCACTAGTCCCAGCTACTTGGTAGACTGAGCTTAAGCTCAGTAGGTTGAGGCTGCAATGAGCCTAGATTGTACCATTGTATTCCAACCTGGGTGACAGAGTGAGACCTTGTCTTCTCTTAAAAAAAAAAATTAAGAAATTAGTTTAGCTGTAGAACCTGGAGTATACATCACTAACTCCTAGAGTGTCAAGAACCATTTAGGTGAACAAGAAGACTGAAGGAGATCTGAGAACAGGAGGAAGAAGCAGTGTCAGAAAAAGGTGATCAGAGACAGCTGGAAATTACATAGAAATGTTCCCCGGATTTCACAGAGTGAAGGAGTTTAGAAGTTAAAAATCTAGAGCAAGTCCAGGAGTATCTGGAAAACCCACAGGTTGAAGCAGATAGTAATTGAACAAATAATGCTTGAATTCAGAAGTATGTCGTTTGGTGACTACCATGGTAACTGAGGGCACTTTCAAGTGTAACTGAAGAGAAAATACCGCTGAATATTCATTCTGAGAAGAGACTTGAAAATGAAAAAGCATATAGTGTAGTTTTAGTATGTAGAAAGTTGAAGTAAGCTTTCTGAGACTTGGAAGAAACAAACAAAAGAGGTAAGGAAAGAAAACTGGGGTAAGGCTAGAAGAAAGGCGCTTTGCATGAAAAGAATCAGGTTCTCTCACACCATGCAGGACTGTTTTCCAGTCCTATATATTCTTGAAATTTGACTGGGGGAGTTTTCTGGGTCCTAGTTTTCTTCCTCTAAAATAACTGTAACATCAATCTTATAATGTCAGTCTTGAAATGTATTTCCATAAAATGCAAATATGTTTATTTAAAAATTCTCCATAGGTTAAGGGTTAAACTTCACTTGCCTGGAAGTGCGATTCTCATGAATACTACTTGTCATTCTCTCTGCTCTTTTATTTATTTACTTATTTATCTATTTATTTATTTATTTTTTGAGTTGGAGTCTCACTCTGTCACTCAGACGGGAGTGCAGTGGCTGCTCCCGGCCACCGCAGCCTCGATCTGCTGGGCTCTGGCGATCCTTCCGCCTCAGCCTTCCAAGTAGCTAGAACTACAGGCGCGCGTTACTACGCCTGGCTAATTTTTTATTTATTGTAGAGATGAGGTCTCGCCAAGTTGCCCAGGTGGGTCTCGAACTCGCGGGCTCAGGCAATCCACTCACCTCAGCCTCCCAAAGCGCTGGAATTACAGGCTGAGCCACTGAACCCAGCTTGTGCTCTTTTATATATTCTAATTATTGCTCTACTGATTTGAGTAAGGAATTGAGGGCTTTAGAAAAGGCATTGTTGCATACACAGTGGTGGGGATTTTATAAATCACATTTCCGAAGCAGAGAAATATGCTTTGATCAGTGTTTGCAAGTTCTAGACCCAGCCTGAGTACTTACATTTTCCTCTATAATCCGAGTTGTCTTTCATTTTTTCTCTAATCTTCATCATCCCTTAATCAATATAAGCCCAGCCTTCGTGCTGCTTTTTATTTCTTCAGTCTGTTTTTCACTCTTCCTTCAAGTTTCATCCATTATGGGTTGCCAAATTCATTTTTCCCAAACTCTGCTTTGGTATGTTTTCTTACTGATTAAAAAATTATGCTCCAGGGTGAGTAGCGTGTGACCATCTGTGTCTCATGCGTGCTTTAACACCAAGTCAACTGAAAACCCTCAGATTGATTTCTTTCTTTTTTATTTATTTTTTAGATTGGAAAATATAGTTTATTTAGAAAGTAAATTAGAAAGAATAAGAGAGAGAGAGGAGATTCACCTCTCCCAGGTAGGAGAGGGGACCAAAGCTTAGAAAACATGGCGGCGACCATAGCTCAAAGAGCAAATGACCACACCAGAGTTTAGTAAAGCAATGGCCCTCTTTCTTTTATTAAAAAAAGAAATTATTGGCTAGGCTCGGTGGCTCAGCCTGTAATCCCAGCACTTTGGGAGGCCGAGGTAAGTGGATTGCCTGAGCCCGCGGATTTGAGACCAGCCTGGGCAACTTGGCGAGACCTTGTCTCTAAAGTAAAATAAAATATAGCTGGGCGTGGTAGCACACGTCTGTAGTTCTGGCTACTCGGAAGGCTGAGGCGGAAGGATCACTGGAGCCCAGAAGGTTGATGCTGGGGGTCGTGAGCATGTGTGCCACTGCACTCTGGCCTGAGCAAAGGAGTCTCACACTCTGTCGCCCAGACCGGAGTGCAGTGGCCGCTCCCAGCCACCATGGCCTCGACCTGCTGGGCTCCGGCGATCCTTCCGCCTCAG